TATTACATGAGCAATATCTTAGCAAATTGAAAAGAGGTTCTTATTTTATATTCTAGCTTGTCAATATTGGTAATTTGAGTTCCAAATTTGTATAAAACTATAGACTTAGTATTTGATTTATAATCTACAGTTTGATACAAACTCATTCATAAATTCATGAAATAGTAGTTCAATAAAATTTTGAATGCAAGTCCACAAACATGATGACATGGCCTTTCACCTGTGACCGATCTGGAAAGGGTTAAGAGGACCTGGATATTGTAATGTGATGTTTACCCTGCAAGTTTTCTTGTAGATAACACATACCACTGCTTAAACATATTTAAACCAGTAACTTTTCTGTATAATTTTATTTATTGTCATCACAGGATATGATGATTACAAGTAAAATTTATAAACCAATTTAAGAATTTTATTCATTTTAGATCTAAAAGAAAAAGTAATAAGAACATGGATGAAATAATATTAATAAGATACATCATAATACTCTACTTATAATTATGATTTGCTCTGAAATATTTAGTACCGGGACTCAATGTCCCGGTCTTTAATGACAAATATATCACAATTTCATGCTCTGCAGTTAAGTTTGTGGCACTCATTCTATTACATTGTTGCCATTTGGACTTAAATCTTTTTCTTGATCTTTTTTCATTAAAGAAAGTTTGTTAATTATTTTTGAAGTATTTATGCTAAAGATTAAATTGTGAAACATCCAAGTTCTTTATCCTGCCAATAATTTTAAACTTACAATATCATTCCAGCAATAGTCATGTGATACCTGTTCACTTGCAAACAGGTTTTCCTATGGTCAGGGGTCAAAGGTCATGTCATCAGTTTGTAGACTTGCATGCAAAATTTTATTGAACTACTATTTTATGAATATATGTAAATAAGTATGGTATCAAATTGTAGATTATAATTCAAATTTTAGTATATTACATTAGTTAATGTCTTAAAAGTAAATATTAAAAAAAAAATTAAATATCAATTTTTGTGCATCACATGGTATGTTGAATGCAGCATTGGTTCAAACTAGATGTTTGTGATCTCCAAATATAAAGTCTACAGTTCCTTACGACTTAGAAACTCAAGTTACCAATATCGACAAGCTAGAATATAAAATAAGAACCTCCGATCTTTTTCATTTGCTAAAATATCACTATTTAGCAAATCAAACAGTGGCCCACCCACCTCTTCCATTGTTGGAAATACTTTCCTTACATACACCCGCTTCACTCTATCATGTGTTTATAACCAATCAAAACTTCAGAATTTCCCCCATGTGGTTTTCCCAGCCTCTTGAAGGTGGAAGTTCCCAAGATTATTTTTCATTCTGTCTCAAATCTCAAGAGGAAGGAGTAAGTGAAAATGTTGTTCAAAAACTTTTTAAAACCCAAATACAGTTTAGTTAATAAGCCTGATAAATTAGTGAAATTCTGCAATATTGATAGAGTAATTTTTTGTTATTTCAAAGAGCATATATAAGACATAAAAAAGTTTTGTTGTACATCCACCACATGCAAATTTCAGCAAGGCTTCGTATGCAAACTTCTTTACAATAGTAAGTAGTAGAGATCATTATTTTCTTTATTTCTTTGTTTACTGTTCTACACTTAAGAAAATAACAAATTTAAGAACTTATTTGTAAATGGTAATAATATACATATGAAATGTATTATAACTGAAATGTGACTGTATTTTACAAAATACCAATCTATTAAAACACAGCCATGACATGTCACTTTGTAAAGGCTAGTTTCATACTACTGGATACAGTAACATGAGTGCATGTGTGCCAAGTCAGACATGGCTGAAAGATCAATAAAATAAAATAATAAATATAGATAGATACATAATGTTATGAGATTTAAGCTATTTAAACATAACATTTGTGGTTTCATGTTATAATTACTAGTCATTCTAGAACAAAAAAAAGTGTAATTTATATCTATTTCCTAATTTTTCTATGGTGTTTATGAAGTCAGTCAAATTGACTAAAACCATAAAGATACATTAGTGAATATATCAGATAAAATAGTTTTTTCTAAAAAAAAAAGTTTTTATAATTATCTGGAGGTTATAAAGATTTCACATGACAAATATGACATTATTTTGCTGCAGAAAAATATTTTTTATCATAAAATAAAAATTACTGTGTATGTTGAATAATAAACATTCAAGGAAAAAAATGTACAAGCAAATCATTACTTAAAAAATCTTAAAACTTGATAAAAAAATCTGATTTTGGGATTCAAAGTCTTGTAATGTTTACTAACAACCTGCAAAATTTCATGAAAATGTGCACACTATTAAAAGTTACTGTATAAAAACAATGACATGCACAAAATAGTTATGAGGTAGGTCCCCCGGAACAAACCTGTAGTGACAGAGATCAAAAGTCACAAAATTTAAAGAATTTATAACAAAATTCCCAATTACTTTTTATTAATATCTTGAAATATTACTGTTCAAAATTTGACAAGAGAAACCCCTTAAATTCATGATTTACTCACAATCATGTTAGAATAGGTTTTGATGTTAACTAGCCTTCATTGTACTAATTTGTTCTTTAGTGTATTTTCAGTGATGTAGTTTTACTATGCAATTGAAATAAATATTGTCTAGAGCTATGCAATTACTCCAACATAATAAATCACCTACGAGCATCAATTACACTGATTAGTGTCACGTAAAACAATTGAGTAATCAATTACAATTAAAGTGATTAATGCCATGAAAATAATCACCTAACTGAAACAAGTTTCCAATTATTATTATTTTCAATTATCAAACCTATCAGAATCTTGTGAAAAAATTGATTAGTTAATCAAATGTAATCAATTAAAAAGGACAATCATAAATCAATTTTCAAATTCTACTAATCACCCAGATCTATTTGCTTTGTACATTGGTTGAAATAAAGTATTTCTCATTACTGATTTTAATCCTGCAACACTGACAACTTAAATATCAATAAAGGGATTTTTTTTTCTGTTTTGAACCTTAAACTTGAACAAGTTCTATCTGGTAGGAAAAAAATATCTAAATTAAAATAGGGCATATTCAAACAACATACACTTGGTTGGAACATATTCATTATACGTTTCTGCATGGACAAGCTCTTCCTCTTCTTCTGCTTCTTCTGTCTCAGCTTCAGGTTTCACAAATGGGTTGTGCTAAGAAAACAATGTCAAATGTGTCTTTACCTCTTTCTTATAAATTTAACCAAAAATATTGTTAAAATAAAAAATGTAGGATATTAGTAAATACTTAAAGTACAAGCTATAAGATGGTGCTGTTGCATAGGTCACAGCTGCACATTAATGTGGCGATAACAGTACCTTCACAAGTGTTATGTGCTATTTTCTTTTTAAATGGGACAAATGCCTTATGTATTATCACCAGTCATTTTTGCCTATACTATTTATTTGTACACAGTCTACTTCTGGAATGAGCAGTGCAATATTAGCTAACTACAAAAAACAAACAGATCAGACATAGCAAACAAGCTAGCCAAATGCTCATTTCAACAATTGGGAGGAGCTATTCAAATGAAAACAATAACCCATCACTGAACAAAATCCACAACCTAACAATAAGTCACACCAATATGTAACTACTTAGCTTTAATAGTAGAAACTACTTATCAGAAGAATAGATTAACACAGACAAATGAAGTACAAAATTTCTGAACATCCTTTTCTTCTGAATAACTATTATAATATGTAAAAATAGCCTCCGGACACTGCTTAGTTTTTAAACTTTTTGTGCATTTCTTATAATATTTCATTTCTGTAATACTAACAAGTTTCTTTTCTGTTTGAAAATCAATCATATCTACAAATATACAACCTTCGTATTCTGGTTTCATGTATCGGTAAACTGTATGAAAGTTACAATCAAAGTACTGATATTTTCATGAATGTTAAACTATTCTATTTTTCATTTATATTAATGTTTAAGATAATTTTGAATAATATTTTACAATTATGATTATTTTGCATTGTTGGCTCAATATATATATTTGGAACTAACCTAAAACACCTAAGCTGGTTGCTGAAACTCGTGGAACACTATTAGGACTATAGTAAAATTTTTCACAAATAGTGATGAAACTGATGATTTAATGCATTTATTAATTTTGGCTTTAGATTTCTGTGTACTAAATTATGATGCAAGTATTTCTAATCAAATTGTTTTACAATAACTTTTGTTATTTCTAGCTCTGATGAACTTTTGATCATAAACTCTGAATAACTCTGATAACATCTAGTATTTCACAATATTTCCTGCAACAAACTAGAAATCAGTAATTTGAAATAAATGTCTTTGAATATAAGAAAAGCATACATTTTAATTAAATCCAAACTAAAACTCCAATTTAGAAACAGTAATCAACAAGTTGACTATTTTGAGCATTTAAACCAATACTGGATAATAAGGTAACAATTATGTTTACGAAATAGAGCTTGTGATAAAATTAAAGCTTCAGCTAACCTCTCTACCCCTCCCCCTAAAAAAATAAATATCTAAACTATAGGCCAAATTCACAAACTTTACACACTATATTTATGAAAATTGCCATTTTATCATAACAAAAATACTTAAAACTATGCTATAAACAATATAAGTTCTGGTGTAGTATAACATTTTATATTCTAATTCTGGTTGCATAAAAATTGAGGTGGATACAAGTATAGTATATATGTTTTTATCAACCCCTATGCTTGTGGCTGACTGATGCAAATTACCTTTTAAAACATCTGATAAGTTACAACTATGATTCATAAAAAGTTGTAGAAGAAATAATTGAAAATTGTGGATTTAACTAAAACTTGCTTTGTTTAGTGCTAATTTCCTAAACAATAATAATAAAATAAAATACTCTTTACTGCTTCAACAAAAACAAAAGGAATATGAAAAATATGGAACCCACTGAAAATTATTGATTTAATTTTTTTTTTTATATGACAGAGCCTGAGTACTGATAACAGAAACACTACTCAAATAATGAAATCATTCATTACAACATTTTTGGATTAAAATCCAAACCATCAACACTTTCATTAGTCTTCATTAAAACTTGAGAAAAATATTTTCTTAACCTATAACTTTACACTTTTGATATCATTTGAAACAAGTGCCTCTGGTACTTTTTTAGATTATTCTTGATGAACTTAACACGATCAATGTTAAATATTTTCAAAAACTTAAAAACAGATTGAATGCACACTTAAGTTCAATTTCCATATTCCAAGTAATCTTTTTCATGGCCTGAGATAAATTGTTAGGTTTTAAGTCTCGAATTTAAATTTTTTTTAAAAAGCAGTGTTCTGGGTTTTTAAACTTTCTTAAAAGTTGATACAAGTTCAACATATGCACAAGTATTACAGAAAAGTGGTTCAGCTAATGTTAACATCAAAAAAAATATAAATAAAAAAGTTAACAAGATAGTAGAAAAAAAATTAAATACAAACCTTAATTCCTTCATTTAACCAGAGTTTAGATAAATCTTTACTTGTGAAATTGGGTATCATAGCAGGGTGTTGCATGAAATTAGGAGGAAATGGATTGTGACTATTCCCCAACATGCTTGCCAAAATGTGATGATTTAATGCTGGCATGTCACATACAGGCATCTTTCCTGGGAAATAGCCTTGAGAAGGTGACATCTTATCTGGGAAGTATCCTTGATCAGTAGGCATTTTTCCTGGGAAATAGCTCTGAGATGACCCTGATGGAAAGCTGTATGGGCTTCCAAAGAAATTGTGTAAAGATGGTTGCGTAAATCCCTACAAGGATACAGAGAAGTAATATGGTAATATTAAAAAACAAAAGCATACTTTAAACACAAATTTATTAGAAGGGTAAGTAAGAGTGAACCAAAAACAAAGAATCCACCATCACCAGTGTTTATACTTCCACTTATTATTTATATACATACCTTAAAATAAATGCTCACATATATTATAAGAAATTGAATCCTTTCAAAATGCTTTTTATATAATGTTGCAGGTAGACCAGTTTCCCAAACTATTAAAAACTTCTTGTTTCTCAGCTAACGGAAACTATACAACACACTGGAAAGATATTTTCTTACACTCTAATAACTTCCCAATGACTAAAAGTTTAAAATTAAAAGCAATTATATTATTTGTGTGTATTAAAATAATGTTACACGGAGACTTACATGTACATATCTACTGGCAGCATGGTGACGACTTGCATCATTTGTAGCAACATCTTCAGAATTTATGCCAGATTGATTAAGTGCAGCAGACAAAAGGTCATGGGCATCCATTATTCACTAAGGCCTGAGGAGAAGAAAAAAAGGCAAATGAAAAGAAAAATTTTCTCAGACCTAGTATTATTATATTTAAGAATATCCTTAATGTTGTACATAAGTAGTCTCCATGACAAGTAATTCACAATTCTTTACATATAGTTTGTCTTATAGCCACAAATACACACCTAGCCTGGTTATAGTTTCCACAAAGCTAGCTTCATGGAACAAAGTGAAGTTTCTATTATTTTATCATCTCCAGGATATAATATTTTAATTGTTCACACATACAACAATTAACCCAATGACCACTGGCTACTAACTTTCTTAGTAGCCAATGCAAGTCTTGCTAAATCTCATTCCAACAATAAAACTAGTGGATGAAATTGTTTGAAACTTCCTAAGAACTTTCATAAATGCACATAGTTTGAGAAACGTAAAGCCTGTTACTTTTGACATATTTAGTTTTTTACATTATGATCTTTAATATCTTGCAAATTTACATTAGGAAATGGTATTTATAAGAAATGATTACAATATTTTTATTTGTTCCAGATTTGAACTTATTATTTTTTATGTTTTAGTACATTATTTTGAAATCTTAAAATATTTGTATCATCCATAAAATGCAAATTTTGTCTATTTTAAATTTTTTTTATAATCATGTACTCTCATTATAGTTTCAAGTAATATACAAGACCCGTAAATAATATTTGTAAATTTGTATTGTAAACCAAAACAATAAATGAGTATTTGTATTTGTAACTAGGATTTCATGTTTATATATGTACATAAAAACATATTAATTTTGTTTCATAAATGTATTTTTATTTCAAGTTTTTGTTTAATTGCAGCCGTACTTTTGTTTATTGTGCCTAATAAACCGTGGAATTAGCAGCATGAACTTTGTACGTACGTTTCCGTAAACTATCTCACCACTGTTGGGTGTCACTCTCGTTCAGCCCAGCATGGGTGCATTTGAACATTATTGTAGATATGATAGTAAGAAAGCTTTTTGGTCCTTGAATATCATTTCTTTGAACTTTCAAACAAGTTTATTTCAACCTATGTCCATGTATGTTGCTTAACTACACAGACAAAACTAATTGCCACTACTAGCAAATGTATGTAACAATTTACAGTACAGGTGGTTTCGATAAACACTGCCTGTCCCTTGTTATTTGATACATCCAGTCTTACAACAAAGTAAAAATTGTAAGAAGGAAACATATAAAATTCTTGTGGTACTGGTACTAGTAGTATTCATATTAATCACACAAGTTTATCATTCTAAATACTGAATCATAATTTTATTATTATGAATTAAACATAAAATCATGCTAAATTATTGAACTTAAAATTTCTAATTTAAATACAAAAGAACATAAAAAAATCAAAGTCTTTCAGTTCAAAGTGCTAAGCCTAATTCATGTAAAGACCTTGCACTCGCCACTCGATAGCTCTTAACCCTAACAATCGTGAATCAACTTCTTTCCTAAAAAATATATCTATTTTGAGTTAATTTTTCAATAAAATTATTAATATAAATAGATATACAATGCAGCATGACTTAAGCTACTATATAAAAATAATAAGTCGTGTACATTCCATGCAGTTTTTTCCAGAAGCAACTTTTCTAATGCTTATAGAAAAGCACTATTGGCCAATACTAAATACAACCTCTACATAAAATGGCAGTTACTATAATAAGCACCACCAACATTCATATTGTAAAATGCAGAGAACAACGTTTTGTCACATGCTTTACTTATCCTATGATTTGTCAACCATGAAATACAGCGATTGGAATAAGATGGTACTGAAATTGACACCTTTGACTAGGATTGGTTAAAAGTTTTACAACTGAGGTTTAACACACCAAACATATTACCTTATAATTTTGAACCCCCTCTCATCTTTTTTAAGAAAAATTAATTTTTAAGGACCATAACCTGTCTTCATATGACAGCCCCTTCATCCCAGGAATAATCCTAGTAGCCCTCTTTTGAAGCCTTTCCAATAATTCACTGTCCTTCTTAAAATAAAAGTTAAAGTACAGAGCCCAAGACTGAACAGAAACACAACTATGGGTATGAGTAAGGCCTAACGAGATACAAAGAAACGACAAACTACTATCAAGCATGTAAAGATGAATTATAGTTTATACACCGAATAATTTATTTTTAAAATAACTGTAATGCCTTAAAGTTAAAGGTAAACAAAAACAATACAAAAATATTATAAACAATACTGTCATTTGAAACAAATATAAAAATTTCTGGTATTTCAAGACAATCCAACTACATCGTTAGGCCTAACAGTCTTTAAATAAGGGATACTGAAAGCGGAAAAAAATATACTTGGACTTCGTTTAACAAACCCGGCTATGCGTAACTCGTCACAGAATCGCACTCCAGAGTACCGGAGAAACTTTCAACCACTATTAAATTATAAATGTTAGTTATAAAACATTGTTTTCGTTATTATAACTTACCATACAATACTTTTTCTAACCTATTACCGCTTTCTAATGATTATTTTAATTTTAAATATACTATTCAACTCAGGATTTTCACAAACAAATGGTTCCTCCAACCGTTTGATCTCTTGCACAGAGTTGAACTGAAACAACCCACGAAAGTGCGCGTCATCTTCACGAACCAAATCTATCCCACAATGCCTAGAATAATGTGGTCGAGAACTTCTTCTGGGGTATGTCGGATAGCCTTAGACTATCTACGAACCAGAATACATTACTTTTGTGTAAGCAAGCGACACATTAATTTGCGTTAAAAAGAGATGGTACTGAGAGTTTAGATTTCTCAAATAAACGAACTCGGAACTATTGACGGAAATCCTTAAGTCTTAACATTTTTCAATTTATTTTCAAATATAATTATTAAAATACTTTAGTTAAAAATGAGTGTGTGTTATCACTTTAAGTAGAAACCAAAAAAATCCACAAAGTGCAACTAAACACAAAAAAGTATGAAGAGTAATTTAAGATTTTTTAAAAATTTAGGAACATCTTAAAATTAAAAAATACTAAGCTAATATTTTGAGAGGAGGAAATGTAATATAGGCCTAGCAGTAGTTCAGTAGATTTCTAATTGTGATATTTCAATTTAGTACATGTGGTAGTTATATTTAACTTTAGGCTAGCCTTAGGCGTTATTGATATCTTACTGATTTTACATTTTAGTATAACGATTAAATTATAAGCTCGTGTAATTTAACAATAGTAACATAGCCATTATGAAAGCGAAGTTATGTATAACTATAACTTATATTTTTACTTTTTAGTACAAGTATAATCTTAAAAATATGAGTTATTAATATTATAATTGAATTTGTAAATGTAATATTATTGGTTTATTACTAGTAGTAGTAGTAATAATACGTATTTAGCATTATTAAATAGATTTAGATATAGCAAAATAAAGGGTGACCAGATTTTCAAATTATAAAACATTCAGAACATCAGGTCTTAAAACTGGGAACCTTTTTTTTATAATTATAAATAATTATCTAAGTTATAAATATCAAGTGAAAATGATGTATTTTAGCTTTACTTTTTGACAATATTGGTGGTACAGGTACTTCTGAAAAGTACATTTTTATTATTAACTTCTTATCACTAAGGAGATCTCATTTGTAAAATTCTGAGCAACTGTCTTACATGTTCACCCTTAAGTTACTTCAAATAAATGCTTCACAACATGGAAATCAAACTGTTGCTGTGAATAGCACCTTCCATTTGCATTTTACTGGAGTCTATCATTTGGTGGGCCCAAAATCATGTGCTCAGTGATGTATTCACTAGTAATGACATGTATCTGTTGATTCATGGTTGTCAGGGGCACAAAATACTGAATATAAAAATATTACAGATTACTGAAAGAAATGAAGACTGGGACATCAGCCACCTGCTGCAGCCCATCTTATAGCCAGCTTCAGAGGAAGCAGCAAAGGCAATGCTTATCATTCCAAGCTGTGTGATAATTTCTCTACTCAGTTGTCAGAGGCATAAAGTATTAAATATAAGTATACAAAATTACAGACAAAAATGAAAACCAGGACATTTAGGCATCCATGAAGGATATGTTGGAACATATTCCAAAATCCAGGACATCTGGTCACCCTACTGAACTATTGGGCCAGTGCAGATAATGAAATATATTTATAAATTATACGTGAGCAATTTATCCTTTACCAATCTCTCATTCAGATTTAGAGTATCAATACTGTAATCGAAATGAAATTAGGTCATGTCTATTGGAATATGAATATAAGTTTTAAAGCAGATTATTGTTTCTGTGTACAGATTTTTGGTTAAGCCCCATTTAGAGTATTGTTTTCAGTCTTTGGCTCCTTAAGTTAAGGATATTTTTTGTTGTTTCCAAAGGAGGGCTAATAAGATCATTCCATGGATGAAAGCTGCCTTATGAAGACAGGTTAAAGTCCTAAAATTATTTTCTCATGATATAGGAAGGGGTCTGATTAAAGTATTCAAAATTATAAAAGAAATAGATAGGATTAATGCACTTTCTTCTTTTCTGTAATGGTTGTAGATTTAGGGTAAGGGTATAAGTTGTCTGCAAAGTAGGCAATTTTATTTTTCAAAGAGGATAATTAGACATGGGAATAAATTGTCTTCAAAAATGGTAGATGTGACAGGATTGGGAGAGTTCAATAGAGGGCTTGATGAATACTTTGGTAATTAGGCCTGGATATAGGTAGATGGGTGTTTGTAAAAATGAATAGAACAGGCACAATGAGTTAAGGGGCTCTTTGCTGGTATGTTATAATTGTATGTTATTCTCCATTATAACACTATAGATTTAAATAATATGGAAGTTTAAATAAGTTTTCATAGTTTGTATTATTTAATGTTTTATATCATTTCCCACCTCTGTCATGGTACAACTCCTACTGCACTGAAAGCACCAGGTTGGCATTTTTAATGAAATACACTAAAATAAGCATTTCAAGTGTGTAGAAGTATAAACAAATCATAATTTACATTTTCCAAGTTGTAATTTTTGTACTGGTTATAAAATCTGATTTTTAGGGGAGGTGGAATAAAGTTATTTTATTCAATTATGTTAATTCATGCTTTATGTTGTGTGTTTGCAAAAATACAGAACTATATTAGTTAAACATATGTTGATAGATTTTTCTGTACACATTTTTGTATTTTTTAGTTTTACTACCTATAGTCTCAACAATATATGGAAGAGTGTAAAGTATTTTTTTGGGTTAATCAGGTAACACTTTTGCTAGTAGCCACTGGAATAGGAACTTTAAATCAGTAGTTCTCTTCCTTTTCTCTCCTGATACTTCAAATGTAACTATTTTTTCTCTTCTCTTCCCCCAACCTCCCCCCCCACCAAATCTGAGTCACATGGTTTCTAACAATGTCCACAATAGAGTGTTATTTATTTGAAAAAAATCCTGTTTGTGTTAATCACCATTTTTCCTTCTAGCAATACAAATATGAGAAAGTATATAGGCTGATAATCTCTTCATTTTCTCATTATTATAATCAGACACTTCAAAATTTTAGTTGCCCTGGGTGACCAATTTATTTCAAGGCTGTTCTAAGATATTCTACACACTTGTAGATGTAAGATGTAACACTCTTATGTATCTTGTTACATTGAAGTTGCTTCTGCAAACTATTTATAACAAATTCTTCTCATCAAGTTTTGAGAAGTAATGTTAACACCATTAGTTACAATCATCACATTTTTTCATACTTTGCACCAAGATATAGAATTCAAATGAATATAACTCATAAATTTCCCAGTATATTCTCATGATTATACTGTTACGTCTGTTCGTTTGTTAATTTCCCATAGAAATTCTTTCCGAGAAACTTCAGCGATAGAAGTCCTTTGTTAAGTAAAACTAGTTTATTCTTTCTCAATACAACTTTGCAATACACTTAATTTCCACAGTCACTTTAACTTAAACACACACTATAATTCACAATGATTCACGCACTTATGGTCACTACAACTCACTTGACTCTATTATCTGTCTATCTGCAATTATTGTCTCCCTTTATTTGCCGAGCTTATATATTAATATAGAGGGCATCTGGCAAACACTAGAGTTGCCAGGAACAGTCATGATCCTTCTAGAAACTCATGACAAGTTACCAGCGTCACGTGACTTCCGCTGTCATAACAATACCTTAATGTACTATTATTAATTTTAAGACTTTTTTTATTTTTTAACATTTGCAACTCTAGCCAAAAACTTATAAATGCTGTAAGGAAATGCTTAAAGTATTAGAAATGTTAGTTATTTTTATGGTGCTTTGCTCTAACTTTTCAGAAAATGATGATGGAAATACAGTTTGTCATATCCATTCAATATACACTTGAGGTAATTTTGTACATTAATGAGTAAATATTTTGTTATTGACATTAACAGTTTTTCGTTAAAGAAAATATGCAATTTTTTTTGTTATGAAACATCAGCATGTAAAGAAAAAATTAGATAAGATTTGCTAAAGTTCACAATGATTTCATAACAAGGAACCTGTTGGTACATCTAGGCTGTCCCATCCACTAAACTAAACTTTTAATTATTTATTAAACTTCCTTCAAACTCTCTTGAACATACTGATTCTACCACATCTAAAGGCCAGCTACCTTGTTATAAAAGTAAAACTGTCTTAGCTAAAGCTCTCCAATGACTCAGTTGTAAGTCTGAAGGCTTGTAATGCTAAGAACTGTTGGAAACAGCATAGGTAGCCCATTGTGTAATTGTGTGCTTAACAAAACAAACAGTCATAGCTAACTTGCAAAAAATGTATATATGTCCCCTAATCCTTCCATTCTCACCATTAAGTACAAAAAATGATGATGCATTAATACTATCAATCCCTTCACAATCTTAAACACCTCAATCAGAACTCCTCATTTTTCAAGAGAATATGTCTCTATTAATCTATCGTATTATGACAACTTTTCCATCCCAGGTATCATCTTAGTAACCTTTCCAACAATTCAATGTCCTTCTAAAGGTAAGAAGCCCAAGAGTGAACACAATACTCCAAATTTGGCCTAACTAGTGACCAGTATTTTACATTCTCTTACAATAAGAAATTTTATAAAAATTTTAAATGTGTAATATACCATAATAAGTTAATAAATATATGAGGATGTATTTGTAGGAATTATATGTATATTTGATTTCACATTAACAATAAATACTTATGAATCTTTCTTCTTTTATGAATATAGCATATGTTTTCAAATTTACACATTTTAAACATGCCAGTTAGACATTGTAGTTAAATATCACTCACCACATTTCTCAAGCATCATCATCAGATACTTCCTTTGATCTAGTGAGATATATTTTAAAAGATTCTCTGTTTTTCACAATAAAAACATTTTATAATTTATTTGAGGAAGTATTTTTCTTATTTGTTGTAATGAAGACATTTTTGTATTATGCTACCTACTTATAAAGATTTTTGTTTCACACATTTTTGAAGATAAAATTAACTTCTTTTACTTTTAAATTGTATCTGTACTTAACTTGGGACTTAGTAACTATATCTTTGTTACCAAAATACGGTCAAATAATTAGAAATGCAGATGTGTTTAATTAATATTTTTAGTTAAGCAAAAACAAATCCTTACATTTTTCATATTTATATGTAATTTTGAAATTTAGCAACTATATTGTTTTGTTACCAAAATATTCTTAAATGGTAAGAAATGTGTGCACAATTAATGTTTTCGGTTGTTTATAAATAAACTAAACACATCTGTACTTAGTGACATCTGGAGTTATTGAACAAAATAAGTCACCACACAACTTTAGCCCCCTATTTATTAAGTTGTTAATATTGTTACGCCTCCGTTCGTTAGTTAATTTTCCGTATAATTTCTTTCCGATGAAACTTTAGCGACACAAGTCATTTCTTAAATAAAACTGGTTTATTCTTTCTGAATACAACTTTGCAATACACTTAATTTCCACAGCCACGCTATAATTCACAACGAACGTCTCACGTGCTCGACTCAAAAATATGTCTCTCTGTCGGCAGTTCTTGGCGGCTTATATACAAGACTACTGCATATCTAGTAGCCTCTCGAGGTTTCATGAACGTTCTAGAAGTGCATGACGTGTTACTAGCGTTACGTGACCTCCGCTGTCGTAACACTATTTACAGAATTATGGATATTGTACCAGACACTGGTTGTTGTCACTTAGTTTCTTTTGTCCATCAAAGTACAAAAGAAACATTTAAACTACTTTTAACAGTAAAAATCAAATTTGTGGGAATAGGGGAAGGATGCAACCCCTTCCCTCCATTTGCATCCATATATATGTATAAAACACATTTAAAAGGTATAAATACAGACTCGTATTACATGAAAATACCCTTCAGTAGGGTCTCCTCACTCATTTCTTTTTTCATCTAAAAGTAGCACACGATAATTTTCTATATATTGTTACAACAGCGGAAGCCACGTGACGCTGCTGGCGCATGCGTGATAGAATTTCTCGAATTATCGGGGAACTCCGAGAATTTTGGAGAAGCCTCTTTGTTAGTATATAAGCATGGCGAGAAAAGCCAGCGAGGTTAGCAAACAGTAGTCACGGTAAGTTTCGGGTAATTTACGATTCTTTTTCGAGCTGGAGTGTGTTTTGCACTCATAGACAGCAAATTTATCGAGATTGTGAATCACTGTGATTTGTAGCATCTATTATAAAAGTTAAGTTTAAAGTGATGAGAAACGTACTGACTGTGGAATCACTGTGTAGTAAAAGTTTGTATCGAGAAAGAATAAACTGGTTTAATCAAGAAAGGACTTGTATTGCTGAAGTTCCTCGGAAAGAATTTCTACCGGAAATGAACAAACAAGCAGATATGTAACAAATTGGTGTCAGAGAGTGGGATGGAAAAAGAAAAGATGATGCAAACGAGAAGTGGCAAATCAAACTACAGCTTAGCAGATTTGATGGCAGCAATACAAGAACAGCAAAATAAACAAGAAAAGAAACTACAGCAGTGGTAGGAGGAGAAAGAAAATAAACAAGAAGA